TCCCACCCCCGCAGGAAGCACGTCAATCATGGGCAGCGCTGTGCTTTCCCAACGGACACCAGAGAAGCACAGGACGGCCTGGCTCGAGCTTGTATCGCTCCGCTTTAAGTTTCGCTGCGTCTGCAAAGCCCGCAGCCAGCCCGTTCCCCCTTCTAAGTTTAGTCAGCGCCCATAGCCACAGGGCGATGAACTTATTATCTTTTTCCTCCTCCTGGGCAGGGCTTCAAACGGGTTCATTCGCCGCTGCCAACAATTTCCATTCCCACCCAGAGTGAGGCCACCCCCTTACCACCTAATTTATCATTAAAAACAAACAAACAAAAAACCACCACCAAGGCTCCCAGGTAAGTCTTCTGATGGGCTGTTTGGGAACTACTTGGCAGCAGGTGCAGCTCTTTCTGCAAGTTCAGTGCCAAGGTGCTCATCCCCTCACCTATCCCAGAAGCCGCCTTGGCTGGTGCCTGGCTCTAAGACCCAGAGGAAGAAGCCCTGAGGGCTGTTGGGCTACCTCCTAGTCCCAGACTTCCAGGGCCTGACAGAAGCTTACCCCAGCGTTCCAGCTTGGGAGGCAAAGCTCTAAGGCAGCTAATGGGGCAGCTCTTGAAGGGGACTGGGGTCTGAACTCCCCCAGAACCCCGTCTCAGCCTGGAGGGGTGCCTGTGCTTGGTCTCTAGGCAGGCTCACCCTGTACCTGCCGTTCTGAGCCCTGGGTTGTCAGTGCAGGGTAAAGGGCTGGGAGAGACACCAGGCCTGACCCAACACTACCAGCTGGTCTGCTGGTCAGGCAGTGCCAAGAGGAAGTGGCTTCTCAGACTCGCCCTAGCTCACCCATCCCTCAGCGAGAGGCAATGAGGCTCCCACGCAGGCTGAGCCCCTCCTAGAGTACCCACGGCTATAGCTGGGGTGTGTGTGGGGGGGTGGGAGGTCAAGGGTGATGAAGAGGGTGTGTGGGGGTGGGGCAGAGGGGAAGTGGCTTTTCCCAGAAGCCTTTACCTGCTTCCTTCATGTTGTCCCCAGGGACAAAGGAAGCTCCGCCCCCCCCCACGCCCACAGACAGGGGTTGCTGAGTCAGGCAGAAATTGCAGACCCACCTCTCCTGGAGGAAGAGAGGCCCGGGTAAAGAAGGAGAAGAAAAGGAAATGCTTCCCCCAAAAAGCTTTGGGTCGAAAACTTTGTGCACTTTGCACGGTCAGGCCCAAGCAGAGAGAGAAAGAAAGAGAGAGAGAGAGAGTGTGTGTGTGTGTGTGTGTTGGGGGGGGGCAGCGGGGTGTCGGGGACACAGCAGACATGCCACTCTTGCACTTCCTGTAAGAAACAAACACTGGGCAGAGGGGGCTCCTTGAGGGCAGGGGTTGGGAAAAAAACAGGAGCTGATCCCAAGGGTTCAATGGAAAATAAATGTCTAGAAAAGAACGATGGAATCTATGTATGAATATGTCTGATACAATTGATGTATGGATTGTAAAAAGAGTTTTAAGAGCCCCCAATAAAATGATTTAAAAGGAAACAAGCACGAGTGATGGGCTGGGGCAGGTAGACTTGCTGAGGGGACGAGGAGGCTCTTGGCGAGCGGTGCAGAGTGACAGCCTCAGACATGCACAGGGGCGGTGCCACTCCGCCTTTCTGGGTTGCTAGGAGATGGAATCAACTGGATGGAGGTGAGTTTGCAGTTATTTTTATTTCCTGTTTGGGTCAAGAGTCTCTTTTGGGGAGTTGGGGAGATGTTTGAAAAAGGGATGCCGCAGGGAGAGAGGGGGAGAAAGGAGGCGCTGAGGCCAAGGGCTCAAGTTGAAAGCAAATGTTTTGAGAAGGATGACGGCAACAAATGTACAAATGTACTGGACACCAGAGATGGATTGTGATAAGAATGGTCCGACCCCCCCAACTACCAGGACCCCAATATTGCCTTGCAGACCTGGTTAGACCAGATGAAGCACAGCGGGACAGATGGGAATCAGAAATGCAGGGAATCTAGGACAGATGAACCTCTCAGGACCAGGGGTGACAGTGGCGATACCAGGAGGGAAAGGGGATGAAGAAAGGGGGAATGGATCACAGGGAGCTATGTTTAACCTACTCTCTGGGGGACGGGCAGCAGGGGGGTGGGTGAAGGGAGACGCCGGACAGTGTAATATGATACAATAATAATTTATAAATTATCAAGGGTGCATGGGGGAGAAGGGAGGAGGAAGGGAAGGGGAGGGGGAAAAAAGGAAAATGAGCTGATTCCGGAAACCCAAGAGGCAAGCGAATTTTGGGAATAATGAGGGCAACAAATGTATAGATGTGTTTTATAAAATTGATCTATGTATTGTGATGAATTGTATGTATTGTGATGAATTGTATGAGCCCCAATAAATTGATTAAAAAAAAAAAAAAAAAGAACGGTCCGAACCTCCACTAAAATGATCTATAAAAAAAAGGTATGCCACTGTCTCGATGGGAGGGCAACAGCTCAGGAGGGCAGGGTGGAGGGCAGAAAGCAACCAGGCCCTCCCATGCTGGGCTTGGCAGGGTCTTACCTGAAGCCAGGACACGCAGGGTCTTGGCCACGCCCCCCCAGGGCGCGCCCAGTGACACAAAGGCCCGGATGTACTTGTCCTTCCAGGCCTGTGGCTGCTGCTGCAGAAAGTAGAGCGTGTACATGTTGCCCATGCTGTGGGCAACCAACACCACCGGACCCCCGTACCGCAGGTGCAGCTCTTCGATCATCTCGCGAAGGGCCAGGAAGTAGGGCCCGTTTTCATCTGCAGGCCAGAGCCAGGCAGTGTCAGGGAGGAAAGGCTCTGGGACCCAGACCCCTCACTTTTCCTTAGGCTGGACCCAGGGAGAGGTGAGTGGAAGCGACGATGGGAGGAACGGGGCCCAGGGCCACTGCCCACTCTGACTTCCTGGTCTCCAGTTCCCAACACCCCGGGGACAGGGAGAGGATACTTGCTTACTTGGGGCTCGGCGCCAGTCATAGGGGGCTCCCCGAACGTCCTGGCCCCGTGTGTACCCCCAGTTCACAAGGCTCTCCACCACAGTGTGAAAATAGGAACCTGCAGACAGAAACATGCCTGATTAAACAGGAGACCGCCAGCACCAGCTACCCCCACCGCATGTGCCGACCAGCCTGGGACATCTCCTGCAAGGGGGTCGCTGCCCACACCAGCCAGACAGCTCACGGGCAGTCTCCCACAAGCTGGCAGGGCTCTTCCCATGCCAGGCTGAGCCCAGGAGGGCACGAGTGAAGGCTACGTACCCACGCTGCTTCTGCTGGGGTCCAGGTACTCCAGTGAGGAGGTCTGTCCAAAGCCAGGCACGCGCACATCCACACCCTCCGGGAACTGGGTGGCCCGAGACGTTCCGTTGTAAATCAGCCTGTCAGGAAGGCATGTGAGTTGGTGGCCCCAGTGGTAACCTTTGGCTTGGTGTGGCCAGAACCTCCTTGTGTCCTGAGCCGCCCCACTCCCCACCCCAGGTTTGCTCGAAGGTACAGGGAGACCAGAAAGCAAGAAAACGAGTTTAGAAAACACAGATGAGGGTACACACATCCACAGGAGGACCCCAAACACCCTGGGATCCTGCCAAGGCTGCATTCATGCCCTTCTCCCTGATGGCACCAGACTCATCTGAAACATGCCCCTGTTCCCCCCCACCCACCCACACACACCAAGGCCGTGGGCCCAGGCAGGAGAAGGAAGCACTAGCCCTTTCACACATGACTTCAAGCGGCATTCTAAATGCAGGCCCTGTTATCTTATCTCCACCGATGTAGCTCCTGCCATGTGACTGAGCTTCCTCATCCCATATCCAGATTCGATGTCTGAACACAGGCGGTCAGACAGGAAAGATCTTGGCTTGGGACCTGAGTGAGCTCCTACTGCTCCCCTGTGCCACCTTCTGCTCACCCAGGTTGGGTGTATGGGCAAGGTCTTGAGAGGTGATGGGGAAGCAGGAGAATGGCCTTGTGCAGACTCAGGCTGGCTCCCCCCATGCCATCTATACTCAGCCAGGGCCACAGAGGGCAGCCTCCACCCTGACTGTCAACGGCATGGTAAGAGTCAGTCTGGATCCAATTCTCGTGTTGACGTGGGTGCAATCCTCACCTCCCACCTCTCCATCCTCGTCAGCAGCCGCTCATGGGGGGGGTGGGGACACTCTTTCTCAACCCCCGCCTCTCAGAACTAGGTCATGGCTCACACTTTCCGTCAGATGTGAAAACGGGAAGATGTGAGTCCCTGGGTGTGTTCCTTTGCTGGGACGACTTCCAGAATTCATGGAGAGCCCAGCACCTGGACAGCTGAATACAAAGGAAGGGGCACAGAGGGTAAAGGCCGGGAGGCTTCTCAGAATGGAGCTTCGGCATCCAGAGAGAGCTCCATCCGGGCCCCCGGGCTCACAATGACATCATGCCTGCTAAGTCTTAGCATCAGGCCCGCAGGTGGGCTCCACGGACAACTGCCTCCTTTGCCGTGCAACCAAAGGAATTGGCCGGTGCCCAGCTACCATGACAGAGCATTTTGATCAAAGATACCACAGGAGAAACTTGATCAAAAGGGGCAAAATGCAAAAGAGAATTCAGAATTCTGGTGGCATCCAGACTTGCTGGGGACCTGAGGCTGGAAGAAACCCCCAAACCACTGCTCTGAGAAAATCTTTAAATCAAAAATATCGAGAACTTTAAAAGACAAACAGGAGTTTAGCTTTAGGAGTCAAAGCGGTTGGCTTTGAGCAGCATGCTCTTTCCAGAACTCTCTCTATGGGTTCAAACTGGCAACAGTAATTCAAAAGATCAGAGATTTAGGGGACAGAGAGTATAGATTAATGGGGAGAACTCAGAAAAGGAGACTGAGAACGGTTGCATGAATTCAATGTCATCAACCAACCTCACTCAATTGGTTGACTTGACGTATGTTTTGTTGTGTCTATTCTCAACAACAAAAATCAGTTAAAGGACCTGATGGTGGGGGCTTAAGTGGAGAGCAAATGTTTTGAGAATGATGAGGGCAATGAATGTACAAATGTGCTTTACACAATTGATGTATGTATGGATTGTGATAAGAGTTGCATGATCCCCTAATAAAATGATTTTAAAAATCAGTTAAAATAAAAGAACTATATCTACACGACCCAGGGCCATCTAACCTGCCAGAGTGTGACCTCATACTCAGCGTGGCCAGCAAATTCTAAGGAACTGGGACAGAGGGACCAAGGTCATGCATAGCCACAGACATGGCTCCCTCAATAACCCTGTATTCATTGTCTGTCGCTGTGTAACAAATTCTGATCAGCCTAACATCTTTAAACCACACATGTTTTGGATCTCAGTTTCCACGGGAAGCAGACACAAGACCAAACAGCAGAGTCCTCTGTCTGAGTAGCCACAACTACTGTGTCCTTCTCAAGAGTCGGGGGTTGGTATGGCACCGTGTGGGATTTCTCCCAAGTTGTCCCCCCCAAATATATGCCAAACCTAAGACGCTGCTTGCTACACATGGAAAAGAACTACATACTTGGAGGTCATCAAAAGCAGGTCAGAGGTTATTCTCCCTAAGGGTTATCAGCCATCTAGGGCAATCAGACTGCATAGTCTGTCCCATGGTAAGAAGGGCCCACTCCCTTCTGATAAGGATAGTAGATTGTTTCCCTGAAGGAGAGCCCAGGGAGGTCAGGTCCATTTAAGGGTGACCAAGGTTAGGCTGCCATATTGAGTCTAGGGTATGCCTGCCCATCTTGTCACACCCCTAATCCCTCCCCTTCCTATTGCATGTACACCCCTAGCTCATCCCCCTCCTATGGCTTGTATTGTCTATTCCTGTTTCGTAGGTGGTCACCTGTAATCAGGGGGGCTTACACCCCCCCCAAAGATATATAAGCCTTGGTTAGAAATTAATCACCCTCTCTGCTCAGACCTGGCTGGTGAAATCATGGCCGTTCAGGAGGTGAGCATGCTACCATGAAATGTGTCTGACTTCTTCATTTGACTCTCCTATTCTCTGTGCCTTTACTATAATCTTTGCATATCATAACATAATCAAACAGTTGCACCTACTGAATAGTTGTGAGGGGCTGGATACCCCCACAGCAGGGTAAGTCAAACAGTACTGCTCCTTGACCGGAGTCTTAAAACTTCATGAGCAGCCATCTAAGGGGCAATCATCCGTCCCTCACCGTCCAGAAGAAGGAAGAATAAGGGGGTGGGGGTGGGGTTAAGAAATGGGCAATGGACAGCACGCACATCGGTCTCCATAAGCCAGAGACCAGAACTAGATGGTTCCCCACCCTTACCACTACCGAGGGCTTTAAAACGGGTCACATCAGAAGGTCCCAGATAGCATTGGAGGAGAATGTGGAACAGAACTCAATGTCATGAGAGAGACCTGGCTGACTGGTGTGACAGAAAGTGGAGACACCCTAAGGCAATGGCCCTTGACCTACTCACCTCCAATAGACCAGTGGAGAGCAAACAGGCAGCATTTCCCCAAGGACAGAGGACAAAAGGTTCCGAAACAGGAAGGACAAGGAGGAAGTGGGATATGGCAGGGTAGACTGAGATGATTAAATGGATGAGCTGAATCACAATAAAAATTAAACAGAGGAGTTGAATCACAAAAAAAAGTTTGAAAAAGTGAGGATTTAGCCAGGCCCTACAGGGGCAGGGTGAGGGGAGATGAGAGAAAAAAGAAAAACAAGCAAAAAAAAGAAAGAAAAACAAGCAAACCGCTTTATTTGGGATATCAGTCCAGTAACCCTGCCCCCAGACACCAAGGAGACAACTCAGCCCAAGAAAACACAGGTTAGATCAGGAGTTCTTGGCCATCCTAAGTCTCATTCTCCGTAAGGATCAGCCACAGGAAGCTGGCAGGGTTCTCAATATTGGCCTAAATGACTGGGTAAATATCACAGGGCCGGCTCTTGCCAGGGCAATCCGTAGATGATCCCCAAAAGGCCCCAGCCAAGTTCAGAAGGTTGTTCTGGAAAAGCCGGAGCAGCCCTGTGTTCTACAGAAGGTCTGGGGTGATGCCCTCCCAGCACCAGCCTGCACCTCCAACTGTGCAAGGCTCTTCTGCAGAAAGATCTGCAGACCAACAGCTCCGAAATGCCCTGCAGATAACAGACTGACCAACCGAGAAGGGAGCCTGACGCCCCGTTAGCCAGCCCTTCCGCCCAGAGAAAAGACTTCCAATCTGCAGGGCTCTCCCTAGTCAGCGCAAAACACGACAACCTGTGGGAAACCAACAAATGTCATTCCCGCAGATTCTCCCACAACAGCGAGGCTGCCTTAAAGTGAGCACATGGTTGATTCTGTCTCCCTGCAGGGGCAGACATTCTCTGACTATCTCCTCCCACCGAGGCACCCATCCCCCCTCCTCCCTTCCCCCTTTGCAGGTATTAGGTTTCCTCACCTGTGAACTCAAGAACTTTACTGTGATTCCCACCCACCTTGTGACATATGTAACTCCTGAATATGCCTGACTAATGGCTACCTATAAAAGCCCCAAAACAATAAAGGCGAGAGCACCCCCTCTTCGCTCTCTCCCCTATGCCCCCTTCCCCTGTCCTCCTTCCATGCCCTCTCTGGCTCCTGCAATTCCCACCTTCCACATCCTCACGTGGATCACCAAGCAGGGATGAGGTGAGCATGCTACCATGAAATGTGTCTGACTCCTTTATTTCACTCTCTCTTCTCCTCTATGACTTTACTATGATCTTCACTTGTTACCGCTGTACAATTGAGCCTGCCGGGCCTGTGATGATTTAAGGGCTGACTCCCCTGACAACTACCAAGATGCAACAGAGTCTGCAACCCCCCCCACCCACCCTCCCCGAATGGAATCAAGAGGGTGCTGCAAAGAAAAAGCAGCTAAGAAACCCTTAAGGAAAAGCAAAGGAATTTCACTGAACTGAAGATGAAGACAACTCTGAGAAAGAAGTTTACCCAGACAGGAAGCTTACCCGATTTAAAAAAACAAAAGTTGGAGGAGGGGGGAGCCGTATCACAAAGAACATAGGCAGTCTGAGAGCAGTCTCGGAGCCTGTCCCCACACGGGCCCTTGTTATCAAGATCAGCCATACCAGAGGTGTGAGCCCCAAGGTTGGGAAGGTGCGGCAGCTTTGCCAGATCTGCCAGATCTGCCAGATCTTTGGTAAGCTCCACCGGGCTTCAGCTGGCGAACTGCCCCAGCTGCAAATAAGCCAGGAGAATCTGCTTCCCAAGTCCCCTGGAAGCCAAATAACTGGCTGTTTCTCGTCTCCAGGACGTGACCTGAGTGAACTGCACTACCACCACTCACCCCCACGTTGGCACAATCAACGGCTTCAGACCAAAGGGGGTGCACGTCCCCCAGGACAACAATCGGAGAGTTTGGAGAGGAGGAGGGATGGAAACAGGAAACCCAGGGAGGATGAGGGGCAAGCAGTGGTCATCGAGGGAGCTGTCACAGCTGAGTTGTCAGGACACGTACGGAATGTTAGACTCCGATCCGCTCTGTAAACCTTCACCTGACTCACAATACAGAGCGAAAAGACACCCCGCCCCCTCCTGTTGAAGGTGGAGATGATGCTGGCAGCAGGGAAGGCTAGATTCCCAGGGGTATTAGAAGGAGGAACTCGGGTGTCTACTATGGTTACCTCTGTCATCTAGTCAGTTACAGAAACTCAGGGGGACAGTTCTCCCCTGTCCTCGAGGGTCACTATAGGTCACATGGCCCAGAGAGTCAGTGACAACAGAAACACCGGCTCTGCCTTCAAGAAGCTTGGAGAACCTATGCTCCCTCACACAATTCTGGGTTCAGATCTTAGTTCTGCCACTTGAAAGTTGAGTGGTCTCACTAAGCAATTGTAAACTCTTTGAACTTGCAGATTCTGTATTGGTAAAACTGGTTAAAAAGCATTACCTGTGCCATAGCGCTGTTATAAAGACTGAATGAAGGCAGTATGCAAAATATACGGTGGGCACCAGTGTTCAGTGGACACGCAATCTCATTCTACTCTGAACTCCTTTCTGGGAAAACAGACTTAGAAAGACCATTTGGCACATGGTAAAGGCTAAAGGATATATCCATGTGGCCTTGGAAAAAGGGGAGTTAACAGCTCTGGGGACACTCAGGAGACTTCAGAGGGACTGGGCAGAACTTTAAAGGGTGAATGGGTTTCAGTTGATGCCAACTCATAGTGACTCTCAAGGACAGGGTCATAAGGTTTCCAAAGCTGAGCAATCTCTACAGCAGACGCCACATGCTCCTCCTGAAGAGGGGCTGGCAGGTTCGAACCAACAACCTGGGGTCAACAGGCAGACACTCAGCTGTTGGGCCACCAGGTCTGTGGCTGCTCGGTCGGTGTCCTTGAATCAGATCTGACTTGGAGTGCAACGGAATGCAGTGTTGCCCGGGCCCGCACCATCCTCACGATCGTTGCTGTTTGAGCCCATTTGCAGCCGCTCTGTCTCTCTGTCCCCTTGAGACTCTTCCTCACGCTGCCTGGCCCTCTACTTGACCAAACATGATGTTCCTCTCCAAGGACCGTTCCTTCCTGCTCACACAAGACAAAGTCTCACCATCCTCCCTTCCAGAGAGCAGTCAAGCTGTCCTCGCAAGCCAGATTTATTTGCTCTTCTGGCAGTCCACAGTCTATTCAGTATTCTTCACCAACACCCTAATTCAAGGCACCTGTTCTTCTCAGTCTCCTCAACGCAGAACTCATTGCTATCGAGTCGATTCCGACCCATCATGATCCTACAGGACAGAATAGAGCTACTCCTGCCCCTGTGGGTTCCTGAGGCCAGCAACCTTCACAGGAGTGGAAAGTCTCACTTTTCTCCTGCAGAGAGGTTGCTGGTTTTGAATTGTTGATCTTACGGTTAGCAGCCCAACTCGTTACCCATCAAAACACCAGGGCTCTCGATGAATGGGCAAAAGGAGAGGGAATTCCAGGACAAAAAAGCAGCAGGTGCAAAGCTAGGGCAGCACGGTGGGCCCCAACAAGAACCAGCAGCAGTAGGAGCAGGTGTGGCCAGCTTCCAGCAAGGGGAGGGGTCTTGGTGGGGGGTGAGGGGTCTAAGAACAGGAGCCAGGGTTCAGAAACCGAATGTGGGATTGACTGTGAGAAAAGACCTAACTTGGAGAGAACAGAGAAAGAGGTGAGGCATAATGACAGGGAGGGAGGGGACGTCCCGGCTGAGAGAGGAGCCAGCCAGCTGGAGGAAGCGGGGTGGGAGATTGCTCAGTGACCGTTGGGTTGGGGATGCTATGAAAAGGGCACCCCAAGCGCGTGTCCCCTGTCCCTACCTGATATTGTCGATCCAGCAGTCAATGAGGACGGGCAGCAGTATCTCCAGGTTGAGCCAGAGGGTGAAGTAGCTGTCTGTCTTCTTGGAACAGAGGTAGTGCACGACCGTGGGCTTGTCCAGCTTGGCCTCCAGCTGGTTGCCCAAATCACCAGGCACTGCAGGGGGCAGAGGGCAATGCCTGGGGTCCCGAGCCTGGCAGGCGAGCGGCTCCTGGGAACCTCGGAGACTATGCAGTCACCCCCCTGCCACCCAAGAACAACCGATCCCATGGTCCATCTTCCCCACTCTCAACCTAAAGATGGTCGCAGGGGCAGCAAAGAGCAAGGACCTTGACCCAAAGGCTAGCCTGCCACACTCTTCCTTTATGGGCCCTATGGAGTTACCAGGGCCCCAGGGAAAGTCTGCCACTGTTGGGGGGCCCACAGTAGTGCAAAGAAGTCTGCAGGCACACTTCCCCATGAGGGGGGCATGGGAGGGACCTGGCATGTTGTGTGGGATAAAGTAAATCCCCTGGATCTCAGCATTGGTGTCCCCCCACCCCCAATCCATTCAGAGTATCAGGAGGGGTCAAGCCCCAAGCTTACCTGGGAAATGAGAAGTTGGTCATTTGACAAGGCACCCCCGCCCCCATAAGCACACACAGGTTTTACAGCTTGGGTGAGAGAACTCTCCCTGGGAGGGGCTGGGTGAGAGAACTCTCCCTGGGAGGGGCTGGGTGAGCCCTGTGAGTTCTAGAATCCCCAAAGATTTGGCGAAGGGTATAACCCGTCACACACACACACCGCACACCACACCACACCACACCACACCACACCACACCTTGGGGCTTAGACTCAAGAGCCTACCCTCCACAGTCATTCCAGGGTTGGCGGGGCCTTGTCCCCCTGAGGGAGCAGGACAAGAGCCCTGGGCCACGTCACCAGGCAAAAGTGAATCCAGAGAGGGTGGCAGGTTGGTGGGAGGGAGGGGCAGAGCATAAACACAGCTAAGAGAAGCTCTTTAAGCCCAAGCTGAAGGCCAAAGTCCAGTGAGGCCCCAGAGGACAGAACATCTGGAAGAACCAGCATATGGGCACATGTGAGCCCTAGGACAACACACCATGCCACCCAAGGGCTCATGGGGGTAGATGTGGCCAGCCCCCAAGAAGGACTTCTCTCCACTCAGCTGGCCTACGCAGTCCACCCAGTGCCCGGGAGCCCATGGAAACTTCCACCCAGCATTCAAGGCCCTTCACAGTCTACTGACTCCAATGACCTTTCCAGTTTCGCCTGTCGTCCATGCCTCTAATACAACTCCACTGGCTTCCATGATCCAACAAGAAACTCTCGCCTGAGTCCACAGGGGTGCTGACGAGGCGAGCTGTGCCCTTCCCGTGCACCACTCAGACTTCCCAGGGCAGCCCTGGGAGCAAGGTGTGGTGCAGAGGCCTGGGACACCCCCAGCATGTAGGTGTAGTCCCTGAATGGCAAGCTGTGAATAGGGCAGGCCAGTGCAGAGCCCTGGGATGCCAGCTTTGCCAAAGAGGAACCGTCAAATGGGAAAATCACCTGAGCTGCTTGTCTGGACCTCCGTGACCTGCCTGACCTCTCAAAACACCAGAGACGATTTCCTGAGCCCCTCCGTGCTCCAAAGGAGGACAAGAGCTAGTGGCATGTCTTTCTCCCCCCATTCACACCAAGAGGGGGGCAACCATGTCCTTGCCCCACTTTACAGATATGACACCGAGGCTGGAAGAGGTGCCCATGGCAAGCCTACTGTCCATTACTGTGGGATATAAAAAGATTTTCCCCCAGCTTTGTCTCCCCCAAAGATATGCCAAACATTAGAGGCTATTTGCCAGCCTATGGTAGGAGGAGGGTCTTCGGTCTTACTCTTCTGGCTTCTCCTTCCTCCCCACTAGTTTAGCCCTCAACCCTAAGGGTTGGTCACCCTGGGGTGCCGCTCTTCTGATGGCCAAGATCAGAAGCCTACTATGTGCCCAGGAGCAGCTCCTTGCTGTCCACTGTCTCTGGGTTAAAGCCAGCAGCCCCAAGCAGTCAGGCGGGTTAGGAGTCCAGCTATCCTGTGACTCCTCCTGGAAGGGCTTAAGGCTTCTGGCATATATCCAAGGATAAGCATGAAGAAGTACAGAATGAGGATCGATTCCAGAACAGTGTGGGACTGGGTGTGTGTGTGTGAATGCTTCTCAAGGCCACCCCCACCACTGAGAAAGCCACAGGCCCACTCTGGGTTCCCTGTGACCCTTAAGATAAAGTGCAGATGTTCCATCCAGTCACGAGACCTACACAATCCACTCCTCCTCCCCTCTCCATTCCAGCCAGCTGCCCTCCTAGAGCACCCTGGCCTGGCTCCAGCTGAACCCTTCCCCGATGCCCACCCTGTGGCCCAGGGAGTAGAAATCTTGGTGTTTGCCCAGCAAAGACCTTACCTCCAGGGGTCATGGTGACTGCCAGCCTGCAAGCTTTGGGAAGGGAGGGTCAAGCATTCCCAATCCCAGGGGGAACCTGGGCCCCGCACTGCCCTGGAGAATGCCTTGCCTCTGCCACCCCAGGGATCAGCTTGCCCTCCAACCTACCCTTCTGTGAGCTGCACCATGCCTGTTAAATAACCCTTAGTGGACACAGCCCAGGAGCCCTGGTGGTGCAGCAGTTAAAGCACTCAGTTGCTAAGAGAGGTCAGTGCTTCTTCACCTCCACCAACGGCTCTGCCGGAGAACATCCTGGCAGTCCAGTCGGCCGCTTCCATAAAAATTTGTGGCTGCGGAGACCCCACGGGGCAGTTCTCCTGGGTCCTAGAGGGTGGCTAGGAATCAGAATTGACTCCACAGCAGGCTTAGAAACACCGCCCAAGGATCCAGCCGCAGCCGACTCAGCATGTCACATGTGCTCAGAAGTCCTGGCTAAGCACCCACACCAGCCCTGGGTGGCCTTGAGGGGCCTGAAGAAGGCGTCCAAGGCCCTCCTAACTGAGGTCTCACCCCTGCCAGCCACCACAGGAAGACACCGTAAGACACTGTGGCTTCGGTACTGTTGCCTAATCTAAGACAGGGGCCAGGGCAATGAGCTTGGGCAGGGCCGGTAGGGGCAAGCCTCAGCCCCAGCCCCAACATATGTCACTCCCACGAGGTCAGGGTCTATGAATAGAGGTCAGCTATGCGACTGTGCCTTCCTGATACCTGTTCTTGCCACATTCCCAACCTTTACCTCTATCTTCAGTCACCCTGGCCCTTCTGCTAAGTTGATGGGAAGTCCAGGTAGGAAGCCCTGGGAGCCAGAGAGTAGGAATCCTTTTCCTGGAGGGGGGCTTCTTTTCAGTAAAGTCCTCTGACACCTGTGGGGTTGCAGGGGGTGAGGGAGTCCAGCCTTCTAGCCAAGACCAGGTCAATGCAGGAGTCCACAGGAGCCCATTTCACACCAGGCTTCAGTGGCGGGGAGCCAAAGGGCCATGGTCTTCCTAGCCTAAGAAATGGAAATTATGAGTGGCAGGCTTGGTGGACCGTGGACAGGTGGACCCTGGCACCCACCCCGATATTCAGCTGGAGCAGACAGACCAGGGGCTGGCCACACCCACGTCCAGCAAGCCATGACGAAAACAGATGGATCTGGGGGACAAAACAGATCAACAGCTATGCGCTCCTCCACCCCGAGGTGGGAATAGGTGCAGACGCAGAAAACAGTACCGCCGCCCGTTCGGCAAGAGGGAGCGGGCCGACCCACCACCGAACGCACGCCTCACCCAGCACCACCGGGGGCCGAAGTCCGGCCGGCAGCCCCTGGGTCACGAGCAGCGTTAGCATCAGCAGGAGGGACAGGAGTCCACCCGGTAGCAGCACCACGCGGTTAGGGCAAGGGCAGAGAGCCATGGCGTGAGCCGGTGACTCGGGTCCAACATGCAGGTTCCGCGCTCCGGGGCCCGTGTTCAGGCCCGGGAGACCGCGACGCGTTTCACACGGAGACTAGCCGCCGCCGCCCGCTGTCCGCCGCCGCCAGCCCACCAGGTCCCGCCTCCCGCAAACCGCCTGCCAATAGGAACTCGCCGCCAGGCGCGACCCTCCCAGTGGAAACTCACGCCCCGCCCCTCCTACCCCCAGGTTTGCCCCGGTGACCGCGCTGCGCGCCGAGCTCATCGATCGATCGGGGCGCAGCCTGGGTCTCCCGCTGTCGGCAGCCGACTGGGGTGGGGACTCTGCTGGAGGCGGCTTTGTAAGTAAGCCGGCCCTCCAGTACGCGCAGACCAACGCTGTGCCACCCTCACCCCCAGTTCCTCCAGCCGCCGTGACTTCGAAGCTGGCCGCTGTTGCGCAGCAAAGGAAGAGAAGAGGAAGTGGATCCAGGGCGGCTCTTGGACCTTAGAGAACCAGGACTGTTGTGCAATCCGCCCTGGTTCTTCTCACCCTGCCCAGAGGGCACCTGGTCTGGTAACCCTACCCAGGGTCCCCCATCCATGCTTCCCCTGGGCTGGGGAGTGGGGCCAGATAAGACACACAGAGGGGTTCGGTCCAGAATGAGAGGGCCCAATCTGTCTATCTTAAAAGCCAAGTGTGGGACCAACTGATCAGAGCAGTTGAGGCTCAGCTGCCTTGAGCCTCTCCCTAGGGTCATCGCCCATTTGCAAGTTTCCCCCTGGAGCAGGAGGGGCCAGGAAGCTTGTGGTCACCCTTCACTCCCACCCTGCCCCTCCTATGTCTGTGTGGTAACCGGTGCCTTCCTCTCTCAATGTCTACTGATTCCCCTACCTCAGGCCCACAGCCCTCCTCCCAGCGCTGCTGTCACCCCCAACCCAGCAGAGGGTCTGGGAGGACTGGTCTGCTGAGCACCCACAGTGGGAGGCCACAAAAGCTCTGCTCGGGCCGCTGGGGCTAGAGACAAGAGGGAGTCCAGAGCAGAGTCAAGTGCAAGAGGGTGGCGTCTCCTAGGCCACCTTGGACTCTGGCCCCAGAATAGAAGGGTTTTTTGGTTTGTTTTTCTTTTCCAGTCCAGTAAACTCAAGTGATCATGGGCCCCTCTCGGGGCGGCCCTGTCTTCTGGTGGCGTTCTTTGGTGCCCAGCTCTGAGTCAGGAACTGTCTTTCAGGGAGATGTTGAGGTCTGGCCAACTTTGAGCCACGCAGGCCCAGTGGTGAGGAATCAAAACGTGAGGATCCCCTCTGTGGTAGTTACACAATTTTATGCCAACTTGATAAAAGAATGAAGGGGTGGAGTCTAGCTTGTCATTCAGATCACAGCCTGATTAATCCCTCCTTGTGGGCGTGGCCTTCTCATGAGAATTCTGGGACTTGCTCTCTTCCTCCTGGAAGTAGGACACATACTCTCCCTGCTTCACATTCTGTTGACAAGCCACATGAAGGAGCCATATATAGCCCCAGCGCTGAGATGCTGCCACAAGACATTTCACCCACTGGCCTGTGATCGTCCTGCTTTCGGCATCTTTGCATGTGCTTCATGAGTCTGTGGAAGAATTTATGGACTAATATCAGACATATTGGCTGATATCAGACTTATGGGCTAATGTCAAACTTATGGACTTGATCTGAACTGGGCCGGGATGTTTTCTTAGTATACAATTAATCTTGGATATCATACTCTCTCTTACACACATATGAGTGTCTCTGGATTTGTTTCTTTAGTCAACCCAGGTGAATACACCTTCCTTCCCCAATATCTGCCTGGTTACCTTGGTTGCAGACCTCAAACACCTCCCTGACCCTCAGACCCACATCCAAGTGGTCACTAAGTCTTGGCAGCTCTCAGCTCTGCCCTGTCAAAGCCCCAGGATCCTCATCCTCACACCAGCCCCTCACTGATGTCCTCCTACCCTATGTCCTTAGTCCTCTGACCTAGTCCACATGCCAGGCAGGCATGACTAAGCAGGAAATTCGACTCCATCATATCTCCATCCCACTCACAATGACTGAGGGCCCATGTCCCCTTGCTTCTTAGCTCCTCCCCTAACATCTCCAGCTTCCTTGCCACCTAGAACAGCTTCACTGGGTCCACTTGGTAGCCCCCAGTTTGGGGGACTTGATTGAGCCTCATTTAGGCCTCAGCTCAGACATGGACCTTTAACTGAAGCAGGTCCTGTCTGTCTCCTATTAGAATATAATCATTGCAAGAGCAGGTCCCTGTCCCGCCCCCACTTGTCCTGATACTGTCACATACCCTGTCATGCATAATTGCTTAGTACATACTCATAGGAAACCCTGGTCGTGTCCTGGTTATATGTTGGGCTGCAATGTGGTTAGAAACCACCAACAGCCTCTTGGGAGAAAGACTGGGCTTTCTACTCCTATGAATAGTTACAGTCTGGGAAACCCACAAGGGGTCACCATGAGTTAGCATTGACTCATGGTAGTGAGGTTTCTTTTGTTTTTTGCAGATGCTCATATATGTTGAATGAATGAGTGATGTGCCTCCCTCCCTGACGTACCACCCTCCCATCCCAGCTCTATAGTATCCTAGCACCTGTCAGACCTGAATTGGATAGAGGAGGTTAGGCACCAAAAAGTCATCAGGGCAGAGGTAAGTTCTGGAATAGAATGGGAAAGAGAAAAGGTATTCCTGTGGAAAGCATCATTCTGAGCAAAGGCTGGAAGTGAGAATAAACCCAGAGCCTGATGAGCCCCACCAGCTGTGGGTACCTTAGCAGGTGAGAATTCAGCCAATGGCCTTTGTGCTCCTGCATTCCTGGGTCTTTTGCCCTTATGATAGTTAGGTTTATTGTGCCACTAGGAACATGTGGGTGACCTCGCAGTTTGATTGAAGGGCAAAGAGATAAATGGTCCTGTAAGGCCTGCCCCCATCTCCCTTGCTCTCTGGTGATCCAACCAGTGTGCTGTTGCTTTCACTACTTCTCTGCCTCAACCTGTGTGCTACACTACCTGTGGACCAAGCCAACCCATGGATCATGCAGCTAGAGCTTGAGGTTCCTTCAAGACCTGCTTCACCATGCTGCTGGTGCGTACCTTGTTTGAGTTAGAGGCTGGTGGATCCTGTCGCCTTGCATTGCTTAAGTTCAATATTGCATCAAGGCCTGCTTTGCTAAGCTCCCTTGCTACTGACTGTTGCTGACCCACCCTGCTGTCTGTTGCCTGTGTGCTTACTCTGCCTGTTTTGCTTGAGGGAAGACTCCATCTGTTGTCTGCTTCCTTGACCTTGGACCGAAGCCCCCTCAGTGAGTTGAAGGACTTTCCGTATATTAACTGTTCTACAAAAGTGAGTATATCTGAGCCCTCTGTGCTACTGTGTGGACTATTATATTATAGCTGTTATATTCCTTCTCACTGTATAAACCTATATCTCTCTCTATATATAAAATCATAAGTGGCTGGTTTTGTTTCTCTAGAGAATCCTGCCTCACACAGTCCTCCACCCAAGGCAATTCTTGAGCTCCTCTACCTGAGCCAGGAGGGTGGCAGGGTTTGGGTCAACCAAACCAGACAGGCCCTCTGACTTTGTTTGGAGACCAGAGCTGAGCATATTTGAAGGCCAATGGCTTGTCCTTAGAGCTCAAGTTTCAACAGCCCCCTATCCTCTGCTTGTCAGAGCTTCCCAAGGGTCACAGGAGGCCAAGCACAGACCCTGTTGTGACAACTTTTAGGGCAGAACAGGTCATCCAACCTGGCTTAGGCATCAAAGAAGGCTGTGTGGAGAAGGAGAAGGGGTGATTAGAGGTGGGCTTTGATGTCTGCGGAGCAGTTTGCCAGGAGAACAAAGAGATGGCAGGAAGTTCAGCCTGTGTGGACGGTCTGGAAACCTAAAGAATCACAATGTGTCTGGAGCACAGAGGTGTTGAGATCCCTGAAAACCAGACTTTTAAAATGTAGCTTCTGCTCACTCAAGATGCTAGGAAGTCTCCCAGCAGGTATGGTACCAAAGACAGGTCCTCAGGGCACGCCTCCCGGCCCCGCATCTGGCGGCAGGGCTTGTGCGCCCCCTGGAGGACACAGCGGCGCAGAGCAGAGAACCTGAGGGATGGAGATGGGGTGGGGAGTCAGAAGATGGCCCTGCGCTTGCCACTCTGGCAGGCCTGTAAGATGAAGATGGGATTCCACTGTTGTTGTGAGTGCCACAGGGCCCAGCCCCTTCCCTCCAATGCCAGGAATGAGTTTAGGGAAAAGTACCTGGCCTCATTAATACTGGGTATTTTGGGAGCTTGTTCAACCCTCTCCCTTGATCTTGTCTTAGGTTCACTCATTGAGGATTTCTGAGCCCCGGGCTCCTCTGTGAGCGAGACCTGGGGCATTTAACAAGTACCCCAAATCCCACTGCCATCATGTGCATCCTGGCTCATATTGACCCTACTATACAGGGACTTCTAAGACTCTATGGGAGCTGTTGCATTTGGCCAGCAGATCCCACCATTAGCAGCCCAGAGCACCAGAAACCTCAAACTACTGAGGGTGCTTGGATAGGGGCATTAGGGTAGTCTGCAGGATGAAGTAACCTGGTGACCCAAAGGCCCTGTGGCCCAAGAGAGGGTTATCACTGTGGGAATACCAGAAGGCAGGCAAAGCTGCACCTAAGAGAATGATTCCATCATTTAGCCAAACTTCATGAAACAATGACTCCAAGCTGGGCCTGCAATAGAGCTGAGCCTCCCCCAGGAGGACTGAATGTCCCCGTGGTGGTGGTAGTGGTGGGTGGGTGGCTAGGTGGAGCAACAAGATTAAATGATTCATAAACTGTGTAGTCAGCTGCCCTCGAGTCAATTCCCACTCAGAGCAGCCCTGATGACAACCGAGTCAAACTGTTGCCTGGCGCTGTGTTACCCTCGCAGGTTTGAGTCTGCTTCAGTTGTGATCCATCTCCCCGGGAGGTTCTCCCCAGACCCTCATTGGCTCTCGCCTTCCCCAAACATGATGTCTTCCTTCAGTGTCTGATCCTTCCCGATGATGTACCCAAAGTAAACAGCATGACATTGTTTTGTTGGGGACCGTAAGAATTTTACTGGCTATTTTTCAGAAGTAGCATGCCAGGTGTTTCTTCCTAGTCTGTTTTAGTCTGGAAGCTTCCATGGGTCCTTGCTGGTAGTTGAAATACCAGTGGCATAGCTTGCAGCATCACAGCTACACGCAGCCACAATGCACTAGCTGAGTGTCTGGTGGTTGATTAAGTAGCATATGGTTGACAAAGATGGTACATTGGAAGAGAGCAGAGAGGAGCTACAGAAGTCAGTTGAGGGACAGGAGTTGGCCTGCCCAGTAATAATGGGGTGATCCTGGAAGCCCCCTTTGAAGGAGGCAAGGGAGCTCAGCAAATCAGGGCTCCTAATATTATTGTAACAAATTTAGTTTCTCCAGAAAACATCAAAGCGGCAGCTTCCATTCAGAAGGTTCTGTCACTGGGGGGATGGGTGGTACCCTGATGTTGGGGAACAACACCATGTAGGTGCCCCATGGGAGAGTGTGGCAGAAGGAAGAGCAAAGGTCCTTGCCCAAGCAAGATCTGAGTTTGAAAGATGGGGACGCCAGGAAGGGCGAGCCTGGGCCCGGGCAGGCTCAGTCCTGCGGGAGCAGGATCCCAGAAAGGAGCTGGGGAAAGAGTGACGCACCCCTGGGTCGTGTTAGGGGCCACCTCTACGTCCAGAGTGTCACGAGGGAGAAGGGGCGTTCCCTAGAAAGGCGTGGCCCCGGGGAAGCTCCTGGCGCAGGCTCGCTCCACCGAGTGGGGGAGGGACCTCACCTACCTTAAGCGCCCAGCACTGGCTAGGAGACAAATATTTGACATTCCGGGTTTATCTGGAGAAGGGTGAGGCCTGAGAAGTGACGTCCCTCGCCCTGTGCTGGATTCGCTCATCGCTTCCGGGGGTGGGGACACTCCGGAGTGGGCCGTCGAGAGAGGACGAGTCTAGCTCCCGCAAACGGTTCCACCCGAAGGGGAAGTGCTTGCCCCTCACCCCAAATTCTGCAGGCCACGGTCTCCACCGCCCACTCCTTCCCAGCCGCCGAGCCCGGCGCGCGGGTCCTCTGCGTCCCAGGTGCCTTCATTCGCCAAGTGGGGGCCGCGCTGCGGTGTGGTCAGTGCATGAGGCCCCGCAGGCGCCGTCGTCACCCCGACCCGACTGCCCATGCTCCGCTCACTCTGGGCTCCGTGCGCCTCGACGCGGCCCCGCCTGGGTCACCGCGAGGGTCGCTCCCTCCAGGCCTGAGCCCCGAAGCCCTTCTTTCCCCTTGCTCCTCCTCCAGTTCTTCACCGAGCCCCTGGGGGCCGCTTTACAAATCGGGCGACGGGGGCCCAGGAAGTCCTCGAGGAGTGCCTCCGGACCAGGCGCTCGGTCCGTCCCTCAGGCTGCGTATTTACAATTTCCGGCCTGGGGGCGGTGGGGGAGGGGAGCCTTTCAACAAAAGTCCGGGGGGAAAAAATAGAAAAAGAAAACAGTCCGGGAGTGGCCAAGCGCAGGGTCCCTCCGTGCTGTTCGGGCGGCCTGGTCTAGTAGGGCGCGGCTCGCGGGTGGATCCAGCCAGAGGCTTTCTTCCGCAGGACGGTGCCTGTGCGCCCTCGCGTCCCACCGGAACCACGTTTCGGTACCGAGAGGGCACTTCCCAGAACCTGGCTGCCCCGGCCTCGTCCCTAAGTGGACAAGCCTTGACCTATGACCTCTGTCGACTCCTCCCCTCGCTCAAATAACCTCCGATGACTCCCGCTGGCTTCTCTCCCCAACTAACTTTCGGTGACATTCACATAAACAGTACACACACACACACACACCCCTCCTTGACTGACTCCTGGTGACCCCACCCCCACCCCGCAGTCCCGCACGTTACTTCGAACAGGTTTCAAGGTCCCTGCGGGCAGGGGTTACCCGGGAATCGAACGCAGTCCGGAGCGCGCAGCTAGCCTGGAGCAGGAGTGCGCGAGGCGCGGGCTGGGGCCTGGCCCCCTTCCCCTACTGTTCCCTGGAGCCGCCCCGGTCACGTGGTCGGCGGCGGCGGCAGGTAACTCGCCCAGAAAGGGCGGGGGCCGCTCCGCCCCGCCCCGCCCCGCCGGGCGCCGCGGGCGCGTCTGCTCAGCGCCCACTGCTCCAGCCGGGCCGCAGGTGCCGCCCCCGACTCCCGGTGTCCCGCCCAAGCCGGTCGGGGCCCGCCGTCGGTGCGTGCGTGCGCCTCGTCGGTCCGCGTGTGTCTGGCCGGGCGCCCCCTTCCTCTGTGGCCATGACTCCGCCGCTGCCCCAGCCACCTCCGCCTGGCCCGGACCCCGCCGCAGACTCCGCCACGGACCCCCGCCCAGGCCCAGGACTCCTGGTAGTCCTGTTCGGGGCCACGGCCGGTGCGCTGGGGCCCGACTTGGGCTCCGACGAGACCGACTTAATCCTGCTAGTCTGGCAAGTGGTGGAGCCACGGCGACGCCAGGTAGTCTTGAAAGGAGACGGCCGGGGGCCCCGGGAAGTGCAGCGCCCAGAGGCGTGGGGTTAATGGGTTTCCTCGCCGCCCGCAGGTGGGTACGCTGCACAAGTCGCTGGTGCGCGCCGAGGCGGCCGCGCTGAGCCCACAGTGCCGCGAGGCGAGTGGCCTTAGCGCGGACAGCCTGGCGCGGGCTGAGCCGCTGGACAAGGTACTGCAGCAGGTGAGCTTTGGGGTTGCGGTGGGTGGCGGTATGGCTGGGCCTCGGGGACATTTCCCGGCGGGAGAGGCAGCAGGAGGCGAGGCCTGGCGCGCTGGGACCAACTGGCCCAGGCGGTAGGACAGGTTCTTGTTGTTTGAAACTTTCAACGATTCCACATGTGCTTGTGTCCGTGTTTGCCGGCTCTTCCTGGGGGCGCCTTACTTTTCACCTTTTCCAGGGTCTGCTACTGCTGGAGGGAGGGGATGGACACCCGGGCCCCTCTCTGAGTCCGCGGCGGCGGCGGCGGCGGCAAGGGGTCGAGGCTCAGACGTTTCTGGGATCCTGCCCAGCCCGGTGTCTCAGGGCAGCAGCCGGAAGCTAGTAGAGCCAAGGGGCCTGGACTTGGCCATAGGTCATTGCCCTGCCGCCTGCGTCCTCGGCCCACCGCTCTCCTGGGAGTCGCGGGGGCGGGGGCGTAGGACGCGCTGCGCCCCCGGGGCAGACGCCGCCAGGTGTCTGCTAGTCTGGGCTTGCCCCGCCGCCGCCGGCCAGGTGTGGGCGCTGTCGGGACCGAGTCTGGGGGCGCCCTGCTGGCCGAGAGCCCCAATGGCTCAAGTGGGAGGTGGTGGCCCTTGCCTTTGTCTTTTGCTTGCTCTCGCTCCGCACTCACCCTTGGCCCGCCTCTGGCTGGGCGTAATGAGTTTAAGTGCTGTAATGGCGCACGCTTTGATCCTCCAACTCTGGTGGTCCCTGATGGGGAAACCGAGGCACAAAGATGTGGCCTCTGAGTCGGTTCAGAGACAAGGCCCCGCAGGGGAGGCGTAGTGGAGGAGAGCTGGGGTGCCTGTGGTCTGCCAGCCTCAGATTGTCACCGTTGGCCGAGGGTGGGGTGGGTGGGGTGGGGGGGACCTGGTCCTGGTGCTCAGTGCCCTTACCTGTTCAACAGCAGGATTGGAGGCTGGGGGAGGGGCTGGGCAGCTTCCAAGTGCCACCCCTTCTGTGAGCAAACAACTCAACTCGGTGCCAGCTGGTCGATAGGGTGGGGGTCAAAGCTCAGCCTGCCCCTGTCGCCCAGGTGTAGAGGTCTGTCCTTGGAACTTCTCTGCCCCTCGTTGGTCAGACCTGGGGGCGGGGCTGTCAGTGACCATGAGCCTCTGGCAGACCTGGGCCTCCCCCACCTGTCTGAGGGTGCTGCCTGGCCAGGGACAGGTTTAACCTGCTCTGCCCCGCCCCTTCCCACCTGCCAGGCCCACTCCACCAGGTGTTTGCCCTGGCTCCACTCCAGACTCCTGGGCTCTTGCTGCAATGGGGGCTTGGGTGATGCGGGACTGTCCTCATCCGGCCTGTAGGAGGTGGCAGTCGACTAGAGGAGAGGCACTGGCCAGGCCAATGGGGTGTGGTCTCTTCACCAGCAGGGTAGGGCTGAACATCTGGCTGAACCAGATTTGCAGCCTTCCCCGCCCCTCTGTGCCCCAGTCCCTGCCTGCCCAGGTGTGAGTGTTTCCTCTGCTCCCACCCCCAGTTCTCACAGCTGGTGAGTGCAGATGTGGCGCTACTTGGTGGGGGCCCCTCCGTGCTCTGCACTGACGGGCAGCAGCTGCTTCGCCAGGTCCTGCACCCCGAGGCCTCTCGGAAGGTATGCCTCTTAAGGGTGCCGTTTTGTGGTGGGTACAGGGCAGCTCAGTTCCTCCATTTACGCCCCTCCCTGTTCTGCCCACCAGACCCTGGTGCTCCCCGACACCTTCTTCTCCTTCTACGACCTCCGCAGAGAATTCCATATGCAGCACCCAAGCATCTGCCCCACCAGAGACCTGACCGTAGCCTCCATGGCACAGGGTATCTGACCCAGCCGGGCTAGGGTTGAGGGGTGCTGGCGGCTAGTTTGCTGTGAGAACTGGGGGTGAAAGCTGGAGGTCCAGATATCAGTGCTGGGAAATCTATCTGGAATGTGGCATATGTCTCCGTATGTCTGGGCTGGGGCCCTAAATGAGCTGGGCCCAAAGGAGCATGCTTGCTAGGGGCTCTGCCTGTCTGTGGAAGGCTTGGGCTGGGTGCAGCCAGGATTAGGATCCATGCTGTGGCTCTTGGGCCTTTCAAGCTGGGGATTTCTTCATCATGACTTCACTGCCTGTAGACTTGGGGCTGGAAACAGATGCCACCGAGGACGACTTTGGAGTGTGGGAAGTAAAAACGATGGTAGCCATCATCCTCCACCTGCTAGAAGCGCCCAGTGGTAAGGCTCCCCTCACCACCTTTTCCCCTGCTTTCAGGGCTAGAAAGGGAGACACCTACCTATTGCTCCCTCCAAGTTCCTCCCCCTGTTCATCATGCTCTTGGAGACAACATGGCAGATGCCCCTTTGCTATCTCCCCATCCCTCTCAACTGTCCTCTTTTTGCAGCGCTTGGTGGGGAGACTCCCCTCCAGCAGACCCTGCTGACCCCCAATGCCATCTTCTCTCAGGTCAATTATTTTCAAAGCCAGAGGTGGTCAAGCAGAAATATGAGACAGGGCCTTGGTGAGTAGAGGGACAGACTTGGGGGGCAGGGGATGTGACAGCTGCCGGACAATGCTGACCCTGTGTCGTGCGTGCCCCCTTCCCCCTCCCACAGCAGCAAGGCCGACGTGGTGGACAGTGAGACGGTGGTGCGGGCCCGTGGGTTACCCTGGCAGTCATCAGACCAAGACGTGGCTCGGTTCTTCAAGGGGCTCAACATTGCCAGGTGGGTGCTGTACGACAGGTGGCCCAGGAGGGCAGGCCTGGCCCGGAGGCACTAACACCTCACTGCCTCCCCAGGGGCGGTGTAGCCCTCTGCCTCAACGCCCAAGGCCGCCGCAACGGCGAGGCGCTCATCCGCTTTGTGGACAGCGAGCAGCGGGACCTGGCACTGCAGAGGCACAAACACCACATGGGCGTCCGTTACATCGAGGTGAGGCTGCAGCCAGGGCCGGCGTTGGCTGGAGCTCAGGCGGCCTGAGCCCCACGTTGTCCCCACTCCTCCCGACAGGTGTATAAAGCTACAGGAGAGGAGTTTGTCAAGATCGCAGGGGGTGAGTGTGCCCACAGCAGGTCCTGCCTCCCCATAACTCCTTATCCTCTCTGTGCTCCCAGGCTGACCCCATATTCCCTCCCCCAGGCACCTCGTTAGAGGTAGTCCGTTTCCTGTCCCGGGAAGACCAGGTGATCTTGCGGCTGCGGGGACTGCCCTTCTCAGCCGGGCCAGCCGATGTGCTGGCCTTCCTGGGACCAGAGTGCCCGGTGACTGGGGGTGCCGATGGGCTGCTCTTTGTGCGCCACCCTGACGGCCGGCCCACGGGGGACGCCTTTGCCCTCTTTGCTTGTGAGGAGCTGGCCCAGGCTGCCCTGCGCAGGCACAAGGGCATGCTGGGTAAGCGATACATTGAACTCTTCCGGAGCACAGCAGCCGAGGTACAGCAGGTAAGCATTAGGCTCCTCCCACCCCCGCACTGAAGTGCTGCTTCTTTGGGTCACCCCTGGATCTCGAGCTGCTCAACATGATCGGACCGTTTGCTTTCCATGCTAGGTCCTGAACCGCTATGCCTCCAGCCCGCTCCTCCCCACCCTCTTCCCACTGGCAGCTGGAACCGGCAGGGACTGTGTCCGTCTCCGGGGTCTGCCCTACACAGCCACCATCGAAGACATCCTGAGCTTCCTGGGGGAGGCCGCAGCTGACATCAGGCCCCACGGTGTGCACATGGTACTCAACCAGCAGGTGAGGCTGCTGCCAGGGCGGGCGCTCGACGCGGCACGGAGGGGGGATGTGTGGGCAGGGTAAGGCACTTTTACACATGCTTACAAGACCGTGTGAACAGGGCCGGCCGTCAGGTGACGCTTTCATCCAGATGACGTCGGCAGAGCGGGCCCTCGCTGCCGCTCAGCGGTGTCACAAGAAGATGATGAAGGAACGCTACGTGGAGGTGGTCCCCTGCTCCACAGAGGAGATGAGCCGTGTGCTGATGGGGGGCACTTTGGGCCGCAGTGGCATGTCCCCTCCACCCTGCAAGCTGCCATGTGAGTAGCCAGAGGCTGGGGGATGGAGGAGGTGGGTGGGGTCCAGGTTGTTGGTACCCCTGACCTTGCTGAGCGGGGACTCCTCCCCGGGTGCCGTGCGGTGCCCAGGTCAGCACGGGCTTCCTGAATATGTACTCTCCTTCTGCTTCTAGGCCTCTCGCCACCCACCTACGCCACCTTCCAGGCCACACCGGCCCTCATTCCCACCGAGACTGCAGCTCTGTACCCTTCCTCGGCACTGCTTCCAGCTGCCAGGGTTCCTGCCACCCCGACCCCTGTTGCTTACTACCCAGGCCCAGCCACTCAGCTCTACATGAACTATACCGCCTACTACCCCAGGTACCCTGCTGCCCAGGCAGCCCTCCAGTGCCCCTCCTGGCTGGGAGTGGTGTGGAATCCCTTTCCTGAGCCAGGTAACCCCAGGTCTGCTTGTAAGGTGATGGGGGAGTGACAGGTGCTGGCTGGGAGGAGACTGGAGGTGGGGTGAGGGAGGAGAGGCAGGGCCGGGGCAGAGGCGGGCCTTAGTGAAGGCCAGCGGCTAGTTGCTGAGCCCCTGCTTTCTGCGCAGCCCTCCAGTCTCCCCTACAACGCTGGGATACCTCACCACGCCCCCTGCCGCACTGGCCTCGGCCCCCGCCTCTGTGTTGTCCCAGCCAGCAGCCTTGGTCCGCATGCAGGGTGTCCCATACTCAGCCGGCGTGAAGGACCTGCTCAGTGTCTTCCAGGCCTACCAGGTGAGGCTGTGTGGCTGAGGGCTGGGGCCAGGTGGGCTGGCCAAGTGTGTCCTGCCTAACTCCTCCCTATCCCTTCTACAGCTAGCCCCGGATGACTACACCAGTCTGATGCCTGTTGGTGAGCCCCCTCGCACTGTGCTACAGGCCCCCAAAGAGTGGGTGTGTTTATAGGTGAGGGAGCCAGGCGGTAGCTCTGCCAGCACGCCCTCCTTGTGGACTCAAAAGTACCAGCGCCTTGACCCGGGGCTTCTTGTCAAAGTTCTCAGAAGGCACCGAGGAGCCTGGGCCCTGCTCCACTACCCACTTACTCTTCTGCCTGCTCATCCCCCAAAATGCTGGCTGAGCCCTGCTTTCAGGGCTGGCTGTGGAATGGCGTTGCCTTGGGTACCTGGAGAGCCTTGGGTCTGTCCTGGATACTGCTTGTGCCCACCAACTGGCAGGGCAAGGCAGGCGACCCTACTTTCGAAAGTGTAAACCCTGTGCTTTTGATGGCGGACTTCTGCAAGAACCAAGGGCCCCTGGACCTCTGAGTAAAGCCGCCTGGAGCTCTTCAGACTGTGGACAGTCTCAGGTCAGGTTCCAGATTCTGTGTGGCCAGCAGGCTCAAGGAGCACTAGAAGACAAAGCACAGACCATCCTGACCGACTATGCTGCAATCACCCCGGAGAACACTAGGGGGCGAAAGGCTCCCACACGAAGCCTAGGGCCCAGACTACGAAAGGGTAATTCCGCCTATGTTCCTCGCACACCTGCAGCAGATACTGTGGACTGTCCTGTGCACTCAATAAAGGGTGCAGAACTGAAGTCTTGGAAAGAATTTGGAACTCTCCCCTCTCCTCCGTAAAATAAACAGGTCCCTGGCCAAGTGGCTTTTTTTTTTTTTCTCGAGTGGCCTTTCACAAGCAGTGGTGCCCTTAGCTCTGTCCCCCAGCGGCCCCAGGTGGAGGGAAGCAGATTTCAAAGGAGACTCTTGGCCTGTCACCATTTATTGTCGCACTGCAACCAAGGAGTCCGATGGTGGTGTGTGTGTGTGTCTTAATCTTAATGATGACTGGCTGCTGGGGAAGGCAGAAGCTGGGCGTCCCAGCCAGGCCGGCAGAGCCTGTGGTGGCAGCACCGCATGTGAGCAGACACCAGCTCTTGCAGCCCCAGGGCTGTGTCTCTGGGAGGCCAAAGGTTGCTTGCCCTATTCCCAACACAGGTGGGCAGGATGGGTGGGTGCTGCTGGTACCCACATGCACAGTCCAATGGATGGTGTATACTTCATTGCTATGCTGCACACAAATGCTCAAGTGTCTGTCTACAATGCCAATACCACGCCATTCTTCCCCCAAAGCTTGTACAAAGCCGATACGAAACAGCTAAGATGGCATACAAAGCTCTATTTTAAAATTTGACTTTTATTTTAAATAGGAAAGCATTTCTATTGCTACAGGCATCAAGGTATTGAAAAGGCATCACAATTTGGTGCATAGCAATTCTGGATCATGAAGGCTTTATTCAGGAGGGGAGCAGGGCAACCCCCCAAGGGTCTTGCAAAGGGAGCACGTGCAAGAACACCATGTGAGACAGCTACACTAGGGGCAGGTGGGTGGGGGTGGGTCACATCTAGCCATCTCTGGAATCTCATCAGAGTCTAGCCAGCCCCCTTGCTCCCACCTCCCCCAGCCTGGGCCCAGAAAGCTGCAGGCTTCCCACCAGAGGCCCAGAAGCATAGCTTACTATCCACACTTGGATACAAAATTCATTTTCAAAGAAAAATAAAAACAGCTCTAAGAGAGGCCAAAGTAATTTACTGAAGGATAAGCATTGTTCTCTTAGTCTTAAGGGGGAAATGGGAAATATCGCAGTTTTAACACAGCTGACTAGAGGCCCTTTGGCCAGGCCTCATGTAAACTCTGCAGAGTCCTGGCATTTAGGTTAGGACCTAGAGTCCCCTGGGTAACAGCACTACGCCTTCAACCAGCTCAGCATATTGTCTCGTGTAGGCACTCAATACATTTGCTTCCTGAATAAGTGAATGGACGTGATTTCATTTGAAAACACGCTGCAAACTTTAGGTGGCTCTGGAGAACACCTAAGTCTTGGAGCAGGTAACTGACAATATTAAGGGGAGGGGGGGGAGGCTGGCTTTGACAGGGCACCCATCTGGGCACCTCCTTTGGTAGACAGCAGGCTGGGGCTTCTTGCTAGCCCCTGCCTTGGGTGCCAGTCTGCCCAGCAGCAGCACCAGGAGGGTATCTTTGGTGTTGAGGGTCAGGTCTGTCATACCACCTCATTTGGGGATTTACCTCAAAGCCTTTTGGGCATATCTGGTTTCTAGACGATGCAGAGCAGTGAGGGCAGGCCAGAGCCCTTTCAGGCTGTGAACAGAATGGGGGCCAGGCCTCCCATGCCAGTGTGGGGCTTAAAGCCTCCCTCTGGGGGCTGACATGTTCTCTGTTCCTGCCCTGACGCACAGCTTATTTGTGCTTAGCTTCTACACACCCTGGGCAACTGCCGGTCAGTTAGAAAAAGTACAGTTGCCTAAATCATTAGACTGTGGCTTCAAAAACAGGCCAGGGCACTGTTCCCAGTCAGAAAGAACAAGAACACTAGCAAGCCGAAACCCACCTTGCAAAGTCAACTGACAGCCATCTTCCCCAGGGTTCAGAGGGGGCAAAGCAAGGTCAACATGGAGCCAGTATGGAAGGTTATACGGAGGTTACCTAGAAGTTACAAAAATGGCTATGCTCTGGAATGTCTGAGATTCCAACACATCAATGGTGGAATGGTCTCTCCTTGCTCTGACAGCAGGAGCTTACTTTATAAAGAGGTCTGAGCTACATTTGGCTTCACTTCCTATGAGTCTATGAAAGGCTTCAGGACACATGCGGAGTTTGAGGCATAGGCATGGAATACGTTGTTTTTTTTCTTTCTTTTTTTGTTCGCCTCTGGAAGATTTTATCAAAAATTCCTATTTTAAAAATATCCTCAACGCTAAAAGGCCGTTCAAATGACCATGAAGCAGTACAAATCACCACTCCTAGCTAAGTAACCAGGCCACCTGCAAAAGCAGTGCCTCCCAAATGGAGGCCCGGCTGCACTCACACTCAAAAGCACCCATCATATAAAAGTATCCTATTTAAATACAAAACGCAAAAAACTCATTTCCCCAAAGCCTTGTTCTTTTACAAAATCTCGCCCCAAAGCCGAGGACTGCCACTTGCCCCACCAATGGTGACCTCACAACTGCCCAGCGGCAAGTGCAGTGGGCCCAGGGGAGAAGTGCAGGGACACAAAGCTGCAGTGAAGGGCGAGGACTGTCAGAGTGCATCCATGCTGCCTGAATCCAGGGCATCGGGACCCGCCAGGGGGGCCTGCCTGCTCCGCCCAGTTCCTTGGGAAACAGAAATGTGGGACATGTCTCTCCCAATGATCTCGTTCACTGCAAAACAAGAAACGAAGAGTGTGATTAGTGACCTCGAGGGACTGGCCGGGTGACTCTCAGCTGCAGATACTCTATCCCCCTGCTGTGAAGGCAGAACCTGCAGCCTGCTCGGTGCCCAGTGGCAGCAGAGCCTGGAACTTCAAGCCACCCTCTGCAGAGACACCCCACTCTCGGTGCCCTCTTAGTTCCCGGTAGCTGAGAGAACAAGGCAACACCGAGCCTGACCCTGAAAGCTCAGGTCTGGAGGTGGAGGACAGGACACTTTTGAAAAGGGTGTTCACTTTCATATAACTTGCCCTTCAACTGCATCCCGCTGGGAAAGCGTTTTCCCTCTTTGACCTTATTTCCACAGCCACCTCAGAGATGAGGCAAACAGAGATAAATGCTTTAGGTTATTGGTTACCCTCTTCTCATGCTCTCCCACCTGCCTGTCACTTTGTTGTACTGTGGTGGCTTGTGTTGCTGGAAGCTATAGTACTGCTGTTGCAAATGCCAGCAGGTCACCCACCATGAACAGGTTTCAGGGTCTAATCTGGAGTAATTAGCCGATGAAAACCTTCTGCACAGCATCAAACCATGGTCAGATATTGAAGATACTGGCGACTAGAGGGGAACACTGTCAGATGGTGCCAAAAAGTGAGCTATATATAGCGGCCTTCTCTGAGGGAAGTCAACCCTAATGATGTGAGTGGAGTGAAGCCCTCAGGACCTTCATTTGCTGTTGGACCATAACTCAATGAAAAGAAACAGGTGCAGAAATCTAATAATTGGCACTTTGGAGTATGAATCTAGAAAAACTGGAAGTCATAAAAAATTAAACAGATGGCACAAAGATGGATATCCTAGGGTTTCTGAGCTGTGATGCACTGGTATTGCCATTTTGAATGAAAAAAATCATATGATTTACTATGCTGGGAATAACAACCAAGAGGAATGGTTTTGCATTCATGGGCAAAAAAGACACTTCAAGATCTACCTTGAAGTGTAATGCTGTCTGATAAGGATTATATCTATCTGCATTCAAGGAAATCCAATCAATACAATGATTATTCAAATGTACCATCCACTTAAGATAGTGATGAAGAAACCGAAAAATTCCACGAACGTCTTCAGTTGGAAAATGCAATCAATATGCATTGATAATTTTTAGTGATTGGAACCCCAAAATTGGGATCAAAGAAGAAGGTACAGTAATTGAAAAATACAGTCTTGGTGACACAAACAAAGCTGGAGATCTTGATAGAATGTTGTAAGACCAACAACTCGGTCAAAACAATCAGCTTTTACAACAACACAAGACAATGACACACGTGGACGCCTCTGGATGGAGTACACAGAGCTGAAACTCACTACAGCTGTGGGAAGACACGAAGGAGCAGCTCGTAATGGAGTCAGCTCAAGTGAAGCCAGCTGACTGTAGACTACCAATTGTTCATGTTTAGGACAGGCTGATGCTGAGGAAAACTTAAAGTTCACAGGAGTCAAAATACGACCTTGAGTCTATCCCACCTGAATTTCACAAACAGATTTGCTGCACTGAACACTAATGACAAAAGACCTGATGAACTGTGGGAGGACATCAAGACCATCATTCATGAAGAAAGCAAAATGTCATTTAAAAGAAGGAAGAGATCAAAGCGGAAGGGATGTCCATAAAGATTCTGAAACTTGCTCTTAATTGCAGAGTAGCTAAGGCAAATGGAAGAAATGGTGAAGTGAAAGAGCTGAACAGAAAACTTCAAAGGAAAGCATAAGAAGACAAAGTATTATCATGGAATGTGCAAAGACAGCTAGAAAACCCACAGGGAAGAACACACTCAGATTATTTTCAACCGAAAGAACTCAAGAAGAAATTCAAGCCTTGAGTTGCAATATTGAGAAAGTCTATGGGAAAAATATTGAATGATGCAGGAAACATCAAAAGAAGATGGAAGAAAACATACAGTCAATGTACCAAAAAGAATTAGTCAACACTTCATCATTTCAAGAGGTAGCATATGACCAAGAACCAACGGTATTGAGGAAGAAGTTTAAGCGGCACTGAAAGCATTAGCTAAAAACAAGACTCTAGGAATTGATGGGATACTAATCAAAATGTTTCAACAACAAGCTAACGAAGCACTGAAAGCACTCACTTGGTCTACGCCACGAAATTAGGAAGACAGCTACTGGGTCAACTGACTGGAAGAGATCCATGTTTGTACCCATTCCAAAGAAAGGTGACCCAGCAGATTGCTCAAATTATAGAACAACAATATCATATGCAAGTAAAACTTTTGCTGAGGATCATCCAACAACGGTTGCAGCAGTACAATGACAGGGAGCTGCCAGAGGTTCAGGCTGCAATTAAAAGAGGATGTGGAACATGGGCTATCATTGCTGAGGTCAAATGGATCTTAGCTGAAAGATGTTTATTTGTGTTTTTCTTAACTACATCAAGGTATTTGACTGTGTGGATCATAACAAACTATGGATAACTTTGAGAAGAAAGGGAATTATAGAACACCTCACTGTGCTCATGCAGAACCTACACATGAATCAAGAAGGAGTTCTGTGAACAGAACAAGTGAATACAGCATGGTTTACAATCAGGAAAGGTGTACAACAGGGTTGTATCCTCTCACTATACTTATTCAATTTGTATGCTGAGTAAATAATCACAGAAGCTGGATTATATGAACAAGAATGCAGCATCACAGTTGGAGGAAGTCTTGTTAACAACCTGTGATATGCAGATAACATAACCTTACTTGCTGCAGGAGAGGACATTAAATCACTTGCTGGTGAAGATCAAGGATTTCAGCCTCAGTATGGATTACAATTCAATATAAAGAAGACTAAAATCCTCACCACTGGACCAATAGGTGACATCAAGATACATAAAAGATGGAAGCTTGGATTTTTGTCTTGCTTGGATCTACAATCAATGCTCATGGAAGCAGTAATCAAGAGATCAGAGAACACATGCATTGGGCAGATCTGCACAAGACCTCAAAGTGTTGAAAGGGAAAAAAATTGCTTTGAAGACTAAGGTGTGCCTGACCTAAGCTATGGTATTTTCAGTGGCCTCAAATGCATATGAAATTGGACAGCGAATAAGGAAGACCAAAGAATAATCAGTGCATTTGATTTATGATGCTGGCAAAAAATACTGAAGTACCACGGACTGCCAAAAGAACAAACAAATCTGTCTTGGAAGAGGTACAGCCAGAATGGTCCTTAGATGCAAGGATAGTGAGACTTCCTCTCACATACTTTGGATACATTCCCCTGGGCAGGACAGCGTGCTTAGTGAAGGAGTGGGGCAGTGAAAGAAGGAGGCCCTCAACGAGATGGAATAATGGGCTCGACAACAACAGTTGTGAGGCTGGCAGAGGACCAGGAGGTGTTCCGTTCTGTTGTACACAGGGTTGCTACAAGTCAGAACTGATGACAGCACCTAACAACACCGTCATACAAGACCCCACCATTAGGGGTCAGAAGAGGGGCAACGACTGTATGGTCTGTGGCCCTTCCTGCAGTTTTCCTGGTATGGGGGGCTCGGCATAGCAGCACCACGCTCTGCCAGGACCAGTGCAAAGAACTGACACAAGCAGAGCCAACAGAGGCACAAAGTCTCGGAGCTCTCAAATCAGAACTTTGGATCTTGTGACACGTCATTATTTTATCAATTAAATATTCTATATTGATTCCACTCGAAGGTATATATCCAAGAGAACTGAATGCATAAAAACTCACTGTCACAAGAGTTGTTAAGAGCCCCCCCCAAAATGATTTTTTAAAACCCAACTCCCTGCCACTGAAACGACACCAACTCATAGCAACCTAACAGGACAGGGCAGAACTGGCTCTATGAGTTTCTGAGACTCTTAATAGAGTAGAAAGCTTTGTCTTTCTCCCAAGAAGCAGCTGGTGATTTTGAACTACTGACCTATTGGTTAGCAGTCCAATGTGTAGCCACTAAGCCCTTGGATGTATAGCCACATAAACTCGTTCCAGATGATCTGAACAGCATTATTTCACAATAGTCAGAAGATAGAGGCAACCTCCCTAATTGATAAATGCATAAACCAAATGAACTACCCACTGGCTTTGAAAAGGAAGTACTAATACATCCACAACTCACACCCATGATATTAAAGCCAAACACAAAAGACCACATATTGAATGATTTCATTTATATAAAATGTTTAGGACAATCCACACAATACCCCCACTGCTCTGGAGTTGATTTTGACTCATCACTACAGGACCAAACTGCCGGCAGCCCTAGGGCTTCTCAGGCTGTGAAAATTCAGAGTCTCCCCACTGAGAGGCTAGTGGGTTGGGACCACTGAGACACCTAGGGGCTCAATTAGTGGTTTCAGGCTGGGAGGGGTGGTGTGGTGTAGGCATGGGGGGGTGATTATTAACGGGTATACAGTTTCTTTTGGGAGTTATGAAAATATCCCCAAATTAGATACTGGTGATAGTCATACAACTCTGAATACACTAAAAGCCACCTGAATTGTACACTTTAAAAGGGTGAATTTTGTGGTCAATTATCTCGATAAAACTATTGGGGGAAAAAAAGGGTAGGGAGGCAAGAAAGTCATTAAGACAAAAGGAACTGGGCAACTGTGGTGATGTGTGTGTGGGGAGAAGAGGGAGGCGGGGAGGGGGGAGTTTGGGTTGGAAGGGGAAGAGAAGAGATAGACTGGTTTTCTGGCCCCACTAAGTTTTGAGTCTGGAAGAGAAAGGTGCGGTACAGAAATGGCTACAGAGGAGGAGGGGGAGGCTAGGTGGGGTGCTGGCACAGGATAGGTGAACATGCAGAAGGGAAACTCCAGGGGGCTGGGAGCTACCCTAGATGGGCAGATCTAGAAGATTTAGGAAGCTTCATGCTGTTGAATGCATGAATTCATGCTGTTGAATGCAAATCATGGCAGTTCCCTGTGTGCAGAAGAATCTGTGGTGCTGTGGGCTTTGGGAAGCACATCTTCAGACCCATCTTTCAA